CCCTTCTACACTATCCCATTCATTTATATATCCATACCTCCCCTAGCTATCTGTGTTGGGGTTCAACTGCAGCAACACACCTAAAACAATAATAACCCCAAAAAAAAAGCCGCAGTAAAAATAAGACTAAAAACCCATCCCCGGCACACACTCCCCCCCTCTTCAATATCTAAACTTTACTCCCTGTTCGAAAAATCCACATTAATGTGGATCTATATCTACAGGACCTTAAATTCCAATATTAACCCGCCTAAAAGCTTTCTTGATAGTTTTACAGGATCCCCAGGGATAACACCCAGCACAAACATTCTTGACTTTCCCCGTGTTCGACTAAACCCCTTTTCAAAAAATCATGTATTTCAAAGAACCTAAAATCGGGAAACCCTACCTGAAAACTCTAGAACTGAGACACATTCATCATTTTCAAAACTACAGTTGAAAAAAAATCTTACCCCCTGACCCACCCCGACAACAAAACTAATAAAACCCAAACCTGGTGGTTCACAATTACATTCACTCACCCACTGACTAAAAAACCCAGAAATGCTAATCCAAAACTTAAAAAATAAATCCTAATAGTCATAATTTTTGCCTATGATACCCCAATATAGACACTTTGTTTGTGCCAAAAACAAAGTTCACATTGTAAAACTCACAAATTTTGATGTAGTCACTTAGCCTTAATACCATAATCTGAAAGGGATTTAAGTTAAAAATTATCTAAGTCTGCCCGAAATCCCTAGCCTGCTAGGTTCCTAGTGGCCCCCTCTGTAATTGTATTTTATAACATTAAAGTACACAATCCCCAAAACCTGAAACCCCACTTCAAATTCAAATTCAATTCAAAGTTTATTCTCTATAAAGATTCCCATTTTTGAATTTAAGAATTTGGTTTTGTGGGTTTAATATAATTAAATAATGATTACATTATTTTATTAAAATCAAGGGGGAAGCGCTCCCCCGTAGGATATCCAATAATGTTCAGATGTACCACTAGAACGCCTAGCATGGCTGGGGCATTTGGGGCAGACTTAGTTTAATTCTTTTTTTTAAAATATTACAATTTTATTCAATTAGTTGGATTTGGCTAAGTGACAAAAATACTAGTTTGTGAGTTTTTGCTTTTTTTTTTTGGCCCCAGTACATATTTTTAGTTTTGGGAGTATCATAGGATTCTTTATTTTAAGTTTGAGATTAATTTTGTTTATGGTCAAAGGGGTGAGTGAGTGTAAGTGAAAAATCACCGGGGTGGTTTCGTGGTTATTTTTGATGGGGTTTATCAGGGAGATAAGATGTTTTCAAAGGGTATTTTTAAAGGTGATAAATGTGCTGCAGTTCTAGAGTTCTCAGGTAGGGTTTCCCAGTTTAGGGCCTTTGAAATACATTGAATTTTTGTAAAGGTTTATCGGACATGGGGAATGTCGTAGAGTGTTTGGTTTTGGTGTTATGCCCGTGGGGTTTTGTCACAACTATCAAGAAAGGTTTTTTTGGTCAAGGTTGATATTTGGGGTTTAAGGGCCCGTAAAGTAATTGCACAGTAGAAGTGTGGATTTACTGAACAGGGAGTAAGTTTGATCTATGAAAAGGGGGGGGGGGGTGTTTGCCGGTGGGATTTTGGATTATTCTTATGCAGCTTTTTTTTTGGATTATTATTTGGGTTTAGGGGGTTTGCTGAGTTGATCCCCAAGACAAAAAGCATAAGGGGAGGGTTTGGGTAAATGAGTAGTGTATAGTGTGAGAAGGGCGTTTTTGGGGATGTAGTATCTTGGAAGGGTCCCAAAGTTTTGGTTTTTTTGGTTATGTGTTGGATATGGGTGCTGAAATTCGGTTGTTTGTCAAAGGGAAGGCCAGGAATTTGCCCTATTATGTCTGGTAATTAGAGTGTTTTTCAAACTTAATGTTATTTGTGCTCTCCTGCTTGTACCAAAAATAATTAGTAGGTTTTTTCAGTGTTAAGGTAAGTTTTTTGGCTGTCATCCAAGTCGTATTTTGATCGCTCTCGTTAACCCAAAGGTGTTGAGGGGGGCAAGATTGGGGAGAGTGACATAAGTGTGTCGTCAGCAAAGGAAAGGGTTTCAGGGGTTGGGGTACGTTTTGGGAAGTCATTGATTTTTATGGAAAAGCGGGGACCCAAAGGACATTCCCTGGGAACTCCAGTATCAATGGCCGTGTTGTTGATGCTGTGTCTTTAATGGTAAAAACTGATACCTATTGTAAAAGTAAGATTTGAAATAAGCAAGCGCATGGCCTTTATACCGTAATGGTCAAGTTTGTGGAGTAGGGTGTCGTGGTCTACGTGTCAAAAACTTTTTTTTAGGGCAATAAAAATTCCCAGGGATATTCTTTATTTTCCCCCTGCGTGTAAAGAGATCAGCATTTTTATGATTGCATCATTAGTCTTTTATTTTTCCTAAAACCAAATTGGCAGGGGGTTTATAGTTTTGTGCGTTATAAAGAAATGTCTCCCGTGCACGAGTTTCTCAAAGATTTTGGATAGCAATGTTAATTTGATATTGGGCCTATAGTTGTTTAACTGTAGGGTCACCCCTTTTTGTATTGTGAAACCCCTTCCCATCTTGGTATTTTTCGGGAAGGTGCTAGTTTTTTGGACTTGTTAAAAAGTAACAAAAAGGGATGCAAAGGACAGGGGGCCCCCGCTTGTAAGTAATGGTGGGAATTAACATTTCCCTGATTTGTTTTTAAGTGACTATAATCTCGGTGACTTCCGAGGGCTCGTTTGGTGCAAGTAGAAGGTTTTGGGGAAATTCCCATCTGGTACCCCGGCAGGGGCTTGTATGTGGGTTTTTATGGCGAGATTAGATCCTATGGTTGAAAGAATCGTTTATCTTGTTAGCTGTGTCGGGGGGTTTGTGGTGTTTTCATTGGTTTATTAGGACAATTTTGTTTTTTTCAGTTTGTGGGTCCCTAAATCTGAAGGAAATGTTTTCCGGGTTTTTTTTATCTCCTCTAGTGCTGTGAAATTTCTGGATAGTTAGTTGTTTTGGGTTTCTTTTACTTGGTGAGAAAATGTGAATAGTGTTTAAAATATCTGTGTTATTAAGCCCCGTTATATTGCTTTTCATATTGGTTTTTCTTGTCAATGGATTTCAGAAAGGTGCTGGTTAGCCATGGGCAACCAAGCCGTTTGTTTGTGATCTGTTTCGTTTTTATAGGACAATGTTTGTTGTATAGTCTAAGTAATTTGTTAAGAAAAATGTCTGTCCAGTCATCAATAACATTGGCCTTGGAGAATTCTGTAGGCCAGTCAACAATCTCTAGGTCAGCTGTGAACTTCCTTATTGAGGCCTCATCATGGAATCTAAATGAGACTTTGTTGTATTCAAGTGGTGGTTTATTAATGTTTGTCAGGAGGAAGGTAGGGTAGTGGTCTGTAGTGCTATCTGTGATTATCCCTGATAGATTCTGCAGGAAATGCAACATTCCCCCGATGAAAAGCAGGGGTGCCACGAGTACACTGAGAGACACCACAATGAGTGTCCGGGGCCTAAGATTGTTCAACTGCCTCCCAGCATACATAAGGGGGATTACCAATAGACCCCTGGCTGTCTTTAAGAAGGCACTGGACAGGCACCTGAAATCAGTACCTGACCAACCGAGCTGTGGTTCGTACGTCAGCTTGCGTGCGGCCAGCAGTAACAACCTGGTTGATCAGACCCTGACCCACCATGAGGCCTGATCTCAGACCGAGCCACGGGGGCGCTGACCCCCGAAACCTTCTCCAGGTAAACATATGCTGTATTCTTTTCAAGACTGATGGACTGATCACATCGACTCAAGGCTGAGGGATTGATTACCTCAAACTCCTGTTCTTCATCATTCTCCTTTGTATGGACTGATGAATCCAATGTATGGAGAAACGTTTAATCTTTAAAGATACCCAAATGTTGCACATGTGTCTAATTTATCGTTATACTAACCAACAGTGTAGTAAAGAAAGCAAATGCCAGACTAAAGTTCCTGTACTGACAAGCACAGTGTCTACCAACAGGCTCGCAGGACCCTATGTCTAGCTCTCATACAATGATTTATAGATTACTCTTGCTCTTCATTGTACTCTGCCTTAAAAAAAAAAAAACTGAAAGATAAGCTACAAATCACTCAACAAATTGGTGAGATTCATTCTAGACCTGAGTCTAAGAGAGCATTTAGGCCAGAATGATTTACAACAACTGGATATGCTGAATGTTGCAGACAAAGCAAAAGAAATAAAGCTAAATTACGTTTATAAAATTGCTTACAACCAGTGTCCCCAATATATTACTGGCAATTTTGTTAAGGCCGGAAATCAATGCAATTATAGAACTAGGGGAAGGGAGAGCAACTTTGCAGTACCTAGAGTCAGTGGTCAGGCTTCAGAGACTTTTTTCTGCACTGCAATAAAGAATGGAATAGACTGTCTGCACATGTCAAAGCCTGTCATAGCACGAACCAGTTCAAGAAGAGAACCAAACTGCACCTCATGATTAAGGCTACAGAATGGAAGGAGAGCGATTTCTTGAATGAAATTAACACTGTGGCCCATGGCCTGGTGGCAAAGTTCTCGCTTCATACGGATTGAGGGGCCGAGTTATTTCGAATTCCCTGGCAAAGGTTGTCCATTGTGACCCTAATTGACCGAGTTCTTCTGCATAACAAGTGACTACTTTCTAATATAATAATGTTCATTGATGTTTGTCTGAGACTAGTTACCTTGTACATATACTTGTAATAGAAAATATTATTAATGTTACTCTGCCCAGGGTGTATACTTCTTTCACTATAAGCTCCGTTTACATCAGTTAGATACTTACCGCGTTTTTAACTTTTAAATTTACTAATCATTATCACAAGGACCCATGGGTATCATGTGTGGGTCGCATCTGGGCAAATCTAAGATTCCTAGACATAATAGGCTACTATGTTTGGTAATCTGGTATAACTCGTATGAGTACCTGAATAAATTTATTTACATAATAAGTGTCAATATGGCAGGAGCTGTCAGTGGCCTTTATAAACCTAACAAGAACAACTGGGAGCATCTTGTTTCCATTTATTTTTTTTTTGGAGGAAGTTTGCTTCTTCTCCATTACCTGCCCAGGTTTGGGGTAAAAATCTTCACCAGAGGTCTGGGAGCAGGGCTAAATACGCCATACACCGTCACAGACCTTCAAAAACAAGAGGAACATAATGTGGTGGTACATGGTGATGGTGATGGTGATGGTGATGGTGATGGTGGGGTGTAGAGCACAACTCGTCGTCAACGTTAACACTCAGGTCATACCTCTTAATGTTATACAGAAATTTATAAATTGTATAATTGCTACTTGTTCTGAATGCCAGTAATCTTACGAATTTCTTAATTCATCGATTAGTCAGGAAAAAGTAAGTAAATTTTTATGTTATTTTGGTGAAGAGTTCTCCCATATATTAGTAAAATTATTGGCAGGAACTAACTAAATAATGTAACCCAAGGGAAAAGTAATCTCAACTTATTTTTTGGTGTAATTTATGGATATTTAACCTGTATCTACTTGCCCGGAAAACTTGCCATTTAAATGTTTGTTTTATTTTTTTCCCATAAAATTTTTTAGCCTTTGTACGGTTTTTTTAAATATGACTTAATTGTTTATTTTTAAATATTGCATTTGCTTTTATTTTTTTAATATGTATTATTTTCCCTTTGCCAAGACTTTCTTATTTTATCAGTCTTATTAATTTTATCTTTAAAATTTCCAGGGTTTCACATATTGTTACTTGATAAAATTTTTTGTTATTTTAAAAATACATCAATTTCTAAACCCTGGGTAGGGTTCCCCCCAAAATTCATTTATTCAGTAGCTCTTTTGCCAGACATATCAACTTTACAGTGTCAATGAGCCTTTAAACTGCAAACCCTTTCCCCCCTTTCAAAATGCGGGACATTTTTCCCCATGTGAGTTTTTTATTGCAAATTAAATTTTAAAATTATTTATTACCTAAAGTTGTTTTTTTGAGTTTTTTTGGGCAAGGCTAATTTTCCCATAAGTACCTTTATATTTCTTAACCATTTCCTATTTTTTTTTTTTTAACTATTTTTTTAATCCCTTTATTGCAAAATTTTTTATTCAGATTATTCTAGTAATCCAGGATGTAAAAAAGGGAAAAATATATCACTATGTTCTATTTTTTTTGAGATATTCTATGTTGTTTTTAACAACATGGTGTTGTAAAAGACTTTTGAAAAGTCTTAGTGTGTAATAAACAGAAAAAAGATTTAACCATCTATGTCTGGCTTTTTTTTCTTTTGTGATCTTTTGAGCCCCTTCCAGGTGAGCCCTTTAAAAAACAGTACTAATCCCCAGGTCCCTACTTACGCGGGATGAACTGACAAAAGGTGTAAAAAAACTTCCCAAATATTTCACATTGGGGATGGACATTAAGTTCATTAGATACGAGTTCTTTCCAGTCCATTTGGTTACCCGAAATGCTGTGGATAACCAGAGGCATATGTGGGGACTATTTAAAAGTTATCCATCCTGTAAAAAATATGTGCTTCTTTTTTACCTGGAGTATAGTGGGGGGTTTTTCGAGGGGCTGGCCCTGTGGCCAGGGCCATAACCAGGCCTCAGGGGGGATCAGGGCCTGATCAACAGGGTGATACTGGTGGCTGCATGCAAAATCGACATATGAACCACAGCTTGGCTGGCTAGGTACTAACTTGAGGTGCCTGTCCAGCTCCCTCTTGAAGGCAGCCAGGGGTCTATTGGTAATCCCCTTTATGTATGCTGGGAAGCAGTTGAACAAGTTTGGGCCTTCTGACGCTTATTGTGTTCTCTCTTAGCATACTCATGGTGCTCCTGCTTTTCATTGGGGGGTTGTTGCACCACTTGCCAAGTCTTTTACTTTCATAGGAAGTGATTTCCGTTTGCAGATTTGGGACTAGTCCCTCTAGGATTTTCTATGTGTATATTATCATGCATCTTTCTTGCCTACATTCCAAGAAGTACAGGTCAAGGGACTTCATCCGTTTCCAGTAATTTAGGTGTTTTATTGTACAGTGGACCCTCGACAAATGCTATTAATCCGTTCCTGAGAGCTCATCGTTAGTCAAAATTATCGTCAGTCAAGTTAATTTTCCCCATAAGAAATAATGGAAATCAAATTAATCCGTGCAGGACACCCCAAAGTATGAAAAAAGAATTTTTTTTACCACATGAAATATTAATTTTAATACACACAAACTGAAGAAGACATGCACAGTTACATGACACTTACCTTTATTGAAGATCTGGTGATGATTGATGGGATGGGAGGAGGGGAGAGTGTTGATGGTCTTAGTGTTTAGAAGGGGAATCCCCTTCCATTAGGACTTGAGGTGGCAAGTCCTTTTCTGGGGTTACTTCCCTTCTTCTTTTAATGCCACTAGGACCAGCTTGAGAGTCACTGGACCTCTGTCGCACAACATATCTGTCCATAGAGGCCTGTACCTCCCGTTCCTTTATGACATTTCTAAAGTGTTTCACAACATTGCAGGTGCAATCACTACAAACGCTGTGATAATGTGAAATGTTCCGATTGTATGTTTGGATGGGACCGTGGTGGCTGGCTGGCTTGTAAACACTGGCACCCACAGGACAAGTGAGGCACACTCAGGCCAAAGTGGCCACGTCTCGAAATGAATAGCGTTGGTCGGGTTTTTTAGTGCTAGTCGAGGCAAAATTTTTGCGTTAAAATGTATCGCTAGTCGGATTTAACGTTAGACAATGCCAACGTTGGTCGAGGGTCCACTGTACTTATATGTGCAGTAAAAGTTCTCTGTATATTCTCCAGGTCTGCAATTTTGTGTCACAACAGCTGCCTCCCGAACTGAGCTCGGATTGGCGTGTCTCCGTGTTCCTTCCGTGGAATGCACTAGGCTGCATGGGCATGTGTAGTTCTCGAGGGGGGCAGGGGGGGTGATGGGCAACGGCAACGGTGACAAAAAATGAATGAATGCAGTTTCACCTACCTTGAAAAGGGTCATTAGTGTACATCAGTACAGTACTCCAGCCTAGAGAGAAAAAGCGATTGAAGAGAATATCCTGGCTTGGCACCCCTAGCTTTGAAAATCTCACCCATTGTCATTTTCCTACCAAATGTGGTAGATAATTGTGTGATTTTTTTGAAAAGTGAGATTTATGATATCACCCCAGGTTCACTTTATTTTTTTAAAGTTGTGTGTTGGAATTTTTTATACTCTATCGATCTTTTTTTCTTCAAGTTTTCCATAGTGGGTAATTGAAATTTTCTTTTTGAACTTCATTTTAAAAAAAACTTGGTTAATCTCTGTTATTTTAATGAGGATGAGGAAAAAGGAGGGGAGTGGTACTTTTTTTTTGTGAAATGGAGCTTTTCACTGAGCTCCTTGTTTTACTTCTTACTATTACTCTTTGTGTTCTTTTTGGGCTATGAATTATGGATCCTTACCTACTTTTCCTTTACCTTTATTGTACTTTTGTGTGCTTTACACCATGATCCATTGAAATTTTGTTTTATTAACTTATGATTGTTAATCAAGTTTCCCTTGTTAGCCAGATGTAGTAAAGTAGTTTTTTTCTCTATTTGATTCTAACAACGTTTTTGGGGCAAAGTCATCATTAGGTCATTTGAAGACATTGGAGTTGCTCAATAGTTTGTAGTACTTGCCCCACCCCCAGGATGCAACCCACAATGATCAACAATCCCGGGTACCTTTTTATGAAGGTTAACGGGACAGTGGTGTGAGGGACCCCCAATGTCTCGACCTGTTTTTAAAAAGCAGTTGTGAATTTTTTTAGAAAGTTATGGACTCTAATTTCTTGTCAAACTGGTTCAAAAAATTTGTCTGAAGTTAAAATCTTTTTAAAAACTTAATTTTTTATTTCTGTGCTTTGAAATTTTTCATCCATACGTTTACGGGGACCTGATTAGTTTCTCTTTGCTCTTCAAAAACTGCAGAAAAAATTTTTCTGTCTGCTCTTCCAATTTACGTGGCCCTTGACTTACGAGTCCCCCAAATTACGTTTTTTCGAGTTATGGACGCGCTCGGTCGATTTTTTGCTTTGAGTTGCAAACCAAATCCAAGTTACAGCGAGGTTCAGTACGTCCCATTAGTTGGCGCGTAAATGCCACAACATTTGCACGTGGAAGCATTTTCCTGTGTTGTGCTTGCATTTTGTGCTTTTTTGCTTTTTATTTTGCAAAATTTTTCTTTTTTTAACCGGGTTTAAGAAAGTAAGTGAAAAGGACGTGTGAGAAAAAAGAGAATGATACCCATTGAATTTAACGATAAAATTTATGAAAAATGAAAGAAAAACTGAAAAAGACGAAGAAAAACGAATCCCCCAATCCCCTTCCCTTCTTTTTCCCCTTTCCACCTTGCCAGCTCTTCTATTAGCCCAAAGTTCTGCTCCAAGTAAATATTTTTTAAAAGCCGTTTATTTTTACATTCTTTTTTAGTATGTTTTATTTTTTATACAATATTTTTTTTATAAATCATTTTTTTTTTAAAACCCCCTAAAAAAAAAAAAATTGGGGTGGTTTTTTGGGGGGGGGAAATAGTTAATGGCATTTCATTAATTTCAATGGGGAAAAATAGTTTGTATCCCCAAGACATGGGTTATGACCCGGGTCAGGGAATGAATTAAAAACTAAGTAAAGGAAACCCGGGATATCGTTTCTGATGCAATTTTTTAAATTTCCCTGACATGCAAATGATGGTAATGCATAAATAAATTTTTTTTTTTATTTTTATTAATTCATCGGCCTTTCCCCCAAGGAGGGTGGCCCCAAAAAAAAAAATCATATTATTCCCCCACTATCCCTTGCCCAAGTTTAAAACGTAAATTAAAAACCCCTCCTTCAGAGGCAGGTACTGTATTCCTATCTCCAGGGGCTCGAGCTGGCCTGCTGGTTTCCCCGAATCCCTTTTAAATGTTTCCTTGCTCCATCCAAAACCGTCAAGTCCTAAAAACCATTTGTCTCTTTGTTCCACTAACATGCTCATGCATGCTTGCGAATTTCCCAAACCCCCCACACGAAAAACCTCCTTTACCCCCTTTCTCCCAAACCCTTTTTTAGGTGACCCAACCCCGCCCCTTCCCCCCCCTACGATTTAACACCTCAAAAATATTCTATTTTTTTCCATCCCCTCTTCATGTCGAACCACCCCGTCCCCCCTGCTCAGCCATCTGGTTAATAGTTTTGGAATCCTGCACCCCCTTTTGAAATAGGATTCTCGCATTTAAATTCAACCACACATTGCCCCCGAATGACATTCATGGTCCACCTTATCCCTTTCTGCAACTTTCATTACCCTGCTCCCCACCCATATAAGGATTGGTATAATGTATCTCATATTTTCCCTTTTGCTTCCATGGATAAAGTATTTGTCCCCAAGACTCCTCAGTGCACCACTCACCTTTTTTTTACCTTTTCAATTCTGTGGTTCACCCCATCTTTTGTAGACCATTGCTGAACACCCCTCTCAAAAATCTGAAAACATTCACCTCCGTATGCTCTCCCTCAATCACCTTTTTTATTCTTGGCAAAAAGAATAATCAATTCTAACATCGGTACACTATGTAACCACATGAATGGCTATTGGTTGTGGATTGCATCCTGGGGATGAAGACCAAAAGGGCCCAACAGGGAAAAGGTAAATTAGTGATTGGGTATCATTGGTTAATAACCTTTGGTGTTAATATAAAATCTGTAATTGTTCTTTTTTCTCTACCAATCTTCATTTTACCATGTAATATAGGTATGATGCCCGGCATTCTAAGCTTTTACTTTTTTAACCCCTTTTACTTTTTGGCCATATATATGTTTAAAACCAGTTTTTTTGGAGTATTAATTGTAAAAAATTCTAGCGGTTTCAAATAAGTGGGAAAGTGGGAGGCCCACATATGAGAGAATGGGTTGTTGGTCAGTGTGCACCCCATAAAAAAATCCTGACACCAGTGCATATTGAAAAAGAAAAACTGATGTTTTTGGGATTAAAAGCTGACTTTGGGGGTATTTCGTTGTTTTATCTTTTATTCCGTTTTCATGGGCTTAGTGATAAAATGGAAAACCCTTTCAAAATAGAGTGATTTTGATTAGTTTCACGATGAAAACGCCTTGAAATTGGCTCAAAGTAGTGGAAAGTTCGATTTTTTTTCCTGTTCAGTAGTAACAAAAAACCCCCCGTCCAAACACGTCAATGGTGAGTCTAATATTTTTTCACAGTGCATTGATATTTTTTATACCTTTTTTACAATAATGCAATGTCTGCATAAAGTAAATTTTTTTATTTTTTTTATGAATAAAAAACAAAATAGAAAGCAATAGTAAATAAAGGGGGCCCAGGATGTGACTAATGAACAGAGGGTTTATTTTAGTGCCCAAGAATGTCTACCCTTGTTAAATTTTGGCCCTTTTGAAATTTGGGATCTTTTTTTTAAATTTTTGTGAAATTGGCCAAATTGCCAAATTTTGACCACTTTATTTTTGGGATTCAATCGGGAAATGGGGGTTTTTGTACTAAAAAAGAAAAAATGGGTTTTTAAAGAAATGTATGAGTTTTTGGAAATGGAAAACGGGAAATTTGGGCCAAAAAAACCGCTCAAAGTTGGGGGAAAACTCCGAGCTATATATCGCTGAGAGTAACTTTGCGGGAGCATAATTCTTGAGTTTTTGACCAATTTTATACTTTTGGTGTCATTACCATCGGGAAAAGTTTTCCTATCATTTTATAAGAAAAAATTTTTTTTTTTTCCAAAAATTTTGCGACATAGAATGACAGTTCGAAAGGGGCTTGCGACAGTCAAAGGGTAATTTTGTAGTGTTGTAAATTAATATTTTTTTATTTCATAACAGGTATTGTTTTTCCCCTTTTTTTTACACATTAAAAAAAATTTTATGCAAAAATCTGTATTAAAAAACTTTTTTTTTTTCATTTACAGAATGGTGAGGTGTTCAAGGAAACAATTACTGCAAACATATCCGATGATTCAGTCATTTTAGAGTTTCCTCAAAATGATGGTACATATATCACACAGCTTATTGACTTCAAACAAGTAAGTGTACTAATATACTAGTACATACCATATATCATCTTAATTAAATGAAGCCTGATTACAGCCCATCTCCCAAAAGCTTTGTGGTTTTTATGGGCTGAGTGCTTCCCCAAAAATATAATAATAATAATAAAGATTTTCATCTGTTTATGTTTAGTAAACTGTTTGGAAAAAGGGGCTGCTAGCCTGTTCCTCTCTGCATTTTAGTTAATTTTTACAACACGCATGGCTTATGGAGAAAAATTCTTATTCCACTTCCTCATGCATATGAAAGGAAAGGAAAATAATAAGAAAAAGAACTATTAAGAAAAATCAAGGAAAACTCAGATGAGTGTGTATACATAAATGTGTATATATATGTGTAGTGTGACCTAATTGTAAGTAAAAGTAGAAAGATATTCCTGTTATTTTGTGTGTTTATGAAAGAGAAAAGAAGACATCAGCACTCCTGCCATCATGTAAAACAAATATAGGTTTCTGTCTTACACTCATTTGGCAGGACAGTAGTATAGTGGTACCCTGAGTTTCATATAGTTCTCAACTCAAACAATTATGTAAGTGTATTATTGTAAGTGCTTTTGTAGTGTGTATTTTTCGGGGTCTGAAATGGACTAATCTAATTTACATTGTTCCTTATGGGAACAAATTAGTTCAGTAATGGCACTCGAACAGCCTTCTGGAACAAATTATGGCCGAAACTTGGGGTGCCACTATACTTCCCTGGGTGGTTGCTGTCTACCAACCTACTACTATCAAATATGCAGAGGATTCAGAGTGTGGAAATTAGGAGTTGTGGAGTTATAAAAAGTACTATTTCAAAGGCCTGAAGAGGAGTTATTGAAGTGGTTTGGTCATTTAGAGAGGGTGGAGCAAAATTGAATGACTTGGAGGGTGTATAAATCTGTAGTGGAGGGGAGGAGGGGAAGGGGTCGTCCTGCAGAAGGATGGAGGGAGAGAGTAAAAAGGTTTCGTGTGCAAGGGGCTGGACTTGCAGCAACCATGTGTGAGTGTTTTAGATAGGAGTGAATGGAGACAAACGGTTTTTGGGACCTGATGAGCTGTTGGAGTGTGAGCAGTGTTATATTTTGTGAAGGGATTCAGGGAAACTGGTTAGCCCGACTGGAATCCTGGAGGTGGGAAGTACAATGCTTGCAATTTAAAGGAGGAGTTTAAGATATCGACTGTTTGGAGTGACATCTAAACTGTCATATCTGGGCACCTCAGCAAAGACAGAGATTGTGTGTGAATGATGGTGAAAGTGTTCTTTTTTTTGGGTCACCCTGCCTCGGTGGGAAATGGCCGCGTATTAAAAAAATAAAATAATAATAATTATTGACATCAGATAGTTACCAGTAAGTGTACTTGACTTGTCAACATTTACAATAGAACAAAAATCACAATACTATGGTGAACAAAACACAACTAGCCCATGTATTTGAAAGGAATGCTGGACAACTTTTCAGTTCTTGCTGGACTGTTATCAAGTCATGAGTGAATATTGCATTACTAAAAACGTAAAAATATACTATAAATTAAAATTTTAAATTTTTTTGGTATTAATTTTCCCTTCCCAGTTTTGATCATTTATATACTATATGACCTACTGTTTTTTCTTGCGGGCCCAACTAATCAAGTGCACTAATTGCTGTTATTGTTTTTTAGGTAATAAAGACAGTGTTTTTCTTTTTAATCCCTACTCCTGTCTGTTATTATAAATATTTTGATTTCAGATGTTGCAGTGCAGTTGGTATAATCAAAACATTTTTGATATATTAAAAAAATAATTCTCTAGTACACAGTATCATGTGCAAAACAATTTACAGATAACTCACACTTTGCAGAGAAAACTTTGGATGTTTTCATTCATTCTGTTCTCAGTGTTGTCTAGATTCCTCTCCATAATGTGGGTTATTTTTTAGACAGATATTGTAATCAAAGGTTTGTCTTTCTCTCATGCAGGAGTTGCAGATCTTTAAAGTGATTGTCTTAGGTGAAGAGGAAACTGGGTCAGAGTCAGTATCAGGTTATGTGCTTCATTATGAGATTTTTCAAAAGCAACTTCATCTCTTCTGATGCCATGTCAAAATTACGACAGGTAAGACCCTACATTCTTGCATTACATGTATGTTTAAGCTAATTACATTCTGGTACTGCTGTGTAAATAACAAACAACTTTAAATAATCATCAGATAAATGCTGCATATGTATGCATTACATTTTTCATTATATTGTTGTGTGTGTGCATGCCCTGTACGTGTGCAATATGCTTATTGTTTCCGAGGGTGTAATCTCGACTCCTGGCCTTGCCTCGTCACTTGTTGCTACTAGATTCACACACTCTGGCTTTTAGAGCCTTATCATTCCTACCTCTACCACTTCACTTTCCAGGTTGTTCCACTTCTTGACAAAGACTGAAAAAAATGCTTCCTAACATCCCTGTGACTCATTGGAGTTTTTAACTTACAGCTGTGCCCTTATGTTCCTGTTTCTATCTCTCAAACAGTCTGTCCCTTATTCACCCTGTCAGTTCATCTCATTACAGGGACCCCTCGGTTATTGGCCATAATCCATTCCAGAAAGGTTTGGCCGATAACTGAAAAAGGCCGAAAACCGAATTAATATTCCTATAAAGAATTAATGGAAAATACAATTAATCCGTTCCAGACAAAAATATTCACAAAAAAAAAATTTTTTTAACAATTATTTAAGTTTTACATACCTTTACTGAAGGCTAATGCGGCTTTCTGGAAAATAGGGAAGAGGAAAGAGGGAGGAGTTAATGTTTGGAAGGGGAATCCTCCTCCATGAAGCCTTTAGTTAGCAAATTTCTTCTCTGGGGTTATTTCCCCTTCTTTTGTCTTTTAATGCTACTAAGACCAGCTTGAGAGTCACTGGACCCTGCCTCACAAACAATCTGTCCATGGAGGTCTGGTTTTCTGGGCATCTCTCTAAGGTTTCCCTGAAGTGGGACAGGGTTTTTGTCACTGAACATGTTGCAGATATGGCTTGTTTCAGCTTGGTCAGGGTGGCGTTTTCTACAAAAGCTTGCACCCTAGTCCACACTGCACACACCTCTTTAATCTGTCATTTACTACTACAGTACATTCAAATTTCTAACCTTAAAATATTTGTAGTCTTAATGTAGGGCAAGAGTGTGAGTAGTATTGTTTGTAGGAAGTCTGTGTAGGGAGCAGCAGATGTAGGTACAGTACACGTATGTAGCCCTCACCCCTGGGCTACACTACCAGCTATATTACAATACACAACCATTTTTATTACACTACACAGCCAATTATCATTTCACTGAGTTTAATCATTTCTAACAAAATACCTTTAGATGCCATCAAAAACAAAGGGAGAGTAATGAATAATTCATGACAAGAATTGTAAACAATGCATATAAAGGGGCGGTTACTGCGCCATCCCCCAGATTCACATTTTTTCTCTAAAACCTGAACAAGAAAAAAAATTTTCCTCCCCCCCACCCCCCTCCATCGAAACATAAAAATTTGCATTTTAATGCATGTTTAAAATGTACACGATTGTACCGTGTTTCTTATAAATTTTGAAGAAAATATCATAGAGGGGTTTAAAATGAAAAGTCTATTTAACGAAAAATAAGACATTTAAGTCCCGTGATTTTTTTTAAATATCTCGCATAAAAACTTGATGTTTTATATACTATGAAGGGTTTTCCTTTGGGCCCAGGTTGCTTTTTTTTGCAGGTATCAATCAAAAACCCACAAAAAAAAATGGTTTTAATACAAAAATTTTGGAAAATGACAGAAGTTTCCACCCCCCAGAGAAAAAGTAAACGACCCCAAATCCCCAGCCGGGGGATGGATCCTCCCAAAGGGGCCGAAAACCCAAATTTAAATGTTTGAAAAGGGGGCGCCAAAAACAGATTTCCGAAATGAACTCTGAAAACCCGGGGGGGTCCATTGATTTTGCACATTATATATTCCCCCTTTCCCCTTTGTTCCCCATTTTTTTTTTTTTAACAATTGGCTGTCTCCCCCCGGGCGGGGTGACGCAAAAACAAAGAAAATCCCAAAAAAAAAAAATACTATTTCATCATTAACACTTTCATCAACCACATATCACTGTTTTTGCAGGGGGTGTCAAAAATGTAACTTTGAAAAATACGTATAAAAATAACAAAAACCCCCAAAACGAAAATATCCCAAATCCTCCTTTAGAGTGCGGCTTTTGTATTCCCATTTCCGGGCTCAGTCCGGCTATATAAAAAAACCGGGTTTTCCTGAATCCCTTCACTAAATATTACCCTGCCACACTCCAACATCGTCGGGTCCCAAAAACCTTTCGACTCCATTCACTTTTCTAACAGCTCACAATGCTTGCTGAAAGTCCAAGCCCTTGCCCCAAACTTTTTTTCCCCCCCTCCTCCACCCTTTTTTGAGGACGAACCCTACCCCCCTTTCCCTTCCCCTAAGATTTATGCCTCCATGCATTTCCTGATCCATTATTTTAATGCCCAAAAACCCCTCAACAACCCCTCTTCACCCCTCTGACCCCTCAAGGGGGTTTCCTGATGTTGGTGAGGGGCTCTTGATTTAGGGAATTGGATCTGTGCCCCCATTTCCCCCGAATTAACCTGAATGCCTTCCACTCCCCCCCCCAGGCGTGTATAATCCCCGGGTTGGTTTCCCCCCTTAAATTATAATAATAATAATTCAGCCCTCTGAAAATATCTTTTTAACTCCACCCCTTTCTCTAATTTTCCACACTAATTTTCTGCATAAATTTACACCCACGTTGCCTTTAGACAGACTCCCCCCTCCCTCCAACCCCCCCTCGCTGCAGATTTACCCCCAAGCTTCACCCTATAAGAGTTTGGTACAGGGGTCCCTTTTTTTTCGTAATTAACCCTTCCCGGACCCGTTACATAAAGAAATTTAAAAATTTCGAATAAATTTTCCCCATAAGAAATAATGTAAATAAATTAACCGTTCCTGACCCCAAAAGTATTAAAACCCCAAAAAATTTTTTAAAAAGAAATAACATGTAGTACATAAACAATACAATGGGAAATGATGAAGAAACATTAACAGCAAACACTTTCTTTATTGGGAGATTCTTCTTAGTGTATGGAAAATGGGAGGAGAGAGTGGGGTTTGTTTATAGTTTGGAAGGGGAACCCCCCTTCCCATCAACACCTCTTACCATTTGTTTTTCTGGGTTGCTTCTCTTCCCCGTTTTTTAATGAAAGTGGACCCCCTTGAAATACTGGAGCCCTTCTCAAAAATAACTGTGGAAGAGCTCTTTTTTTCTGGGTCTTTTTTAAACCCTTTCCCAAAAAATGGCCCAAGATTTTGCATGACATTTTCCCAAACCCTGGCTTGCAAAAACCCTTTGTTAGGGTGATGTTTCCCCAAAAAACTTTCCACTTACCCCAATAGTAAAAATTCTTTAATTTCTGAAGAAGGCACCTTTTTCCATCTTCCCCTCCCCCCTCTGCAGCAAGATTCTGGCTGCATGTGTTGCTTTTCCCGCTGAAGCTCTTGCAGCTCCAGTGGTGAGCTTTCATTGTGGTCTTCCCCCAATTCTTCCAACCTTTCAAACTCGCACCCAACCCCCAGGGAAACTCCCCCAGGCCACAATTGTTTTTTAAAAACAGACAAAGGCTCATTAGGGTCATCCCAAATCCTTCAAATCCCTCTTGTCAACACAATCAGCCAAAATTTTTTTCCCCGGGCAGGTTCAAAGTTGGTGTCACTCCCCCCCAAGCCATCCCTAAAGGGTTAGCAGGGGGTGCTGAAGTGTTCTCCCCAAAACCCCTTAGGGTCAAGTGAGTGTCTGGGGTCACAGTAAAGCCCCTGTGAAACATTGCTTTTGTGAGATTTTTTTTAAAAGTTTGCATAACCTACGGGTCCAGGGGTTGGAGGAGGGGATGGTTTTGGGGGCAAAAATTTTTTTGGGGAAAACCCAAAAAATCCTCAAAATTTGGGTCACCCAAGTTTGGAGGATGAGAGGTCTTGTCCTTTTACTACAGGCATTAGACCCAATTTTTTTTCCCAGGAATACTCCTTCACACTGGGGCCAAACCTTCATTGAACCACTCGACAAAAATTTCCCTCGTGCCCCTGCTTACTAAGACTTCCAAAAACACACAGTTTACCCCTCAAACATTTTTTTTCCTGAACACTGGGGGATTTTCGAATGGTACACTAGTAATGGCTTCAACTTGAACCCCCATAGCTTTAGCACAGAACTTTACGTCAGCCTGTTTTTTAACTTGTTCCGGGCATTCCCTTTTTCCCCTCTTGGAAAAGAAGGCCTCTTTGGCATTTTTTCCCAAAAGGGCCTGTTTCGTCAAAATTGAACCTTGTTGGGTTTTCGTCTTCCCGCCCATGTACTCCTGGAACCATGCACATATTTTTCAGCCGCCTTGTGGTCCAACGGGCAGCCTAAACCATCCTTACCCGCTGGTATGCCATGGGTTCTTAAATCTCTCAAACCCACCTTTTGCGGTTTTAAATTCACTCACTTCACCCTATTTCGGGAGTTTCTTCCCAAATCTTCATGCAACTCCCCAAAATTTTTCCCAAAAAAAATCGAAGTAAAAGAGTAACCCTGCTAATTTTTTTTCCATTTACCCCACCCCAAATAATAATTTCTAAACCTCTTCCAGACTGGTGATCTCATTTTTTCAGCAATTTCCCCCTTTTCAACAAAAATCCTTTATTTCCCTTTTTTTTGGCCACTATGGAAAATAAGTTGTGTAGGGGTTTTTTATACATTGGGCATTTCGGCCCACTTGTACCACTTTCATGTTTTTCAATGATGGTTTTTTAAATTTAGTTGTATTTTTCACCTTCTTTACCACAGGGTTGGCACTAGGAGCTTTTTGGAGCCATGGTAGCTATTAGTACTTGCAAGCACTAAAATAAATGGGAAAACTTATTATGAAAAATTTCGCGGGAACACGTGAGGGGGCCTTCGCCACGGGAAACAATGCCAGACTGGCTCCCCCCCGGCTCACGCCGTGGGTACCCCCGGACGAAATAAAAGACTCACGATTTAACCTATAAAAGCGAGTCCTGTTTAATGAAAAAACCCCTGTGATTGGCAATT